TATATATATAGATGATATTCCACAAGCTGTTAGTAAATGTGCGGTACACTTACAGTATATGCTGATGACACCATTTTGTATGCTGTTGGCCCATCCCCTGAAACAGTTTTCCAGTCTCTAAAACAAAACTTCTTGAATATTCAAAATTCTTTTGCAAATTTGGGTTTATCCTTGAATTCTAAGAAAATAAAAGTCCTTTAGTTTAACTGTAAGAAAAATGTAAATCTCCCCAACTTGGTCTTTACTGTTAAGTTTTTCAGCGGTTACACGTGTTTGCCTGTAATGATAAAAATAAAGCAACATTAGATCAGCAACCTGTTCAGTTCTTAAATCATTACGACTGTTTGTCCTCAGGGGGACACTGGTCAGCCTGGCCTGAAGGGACAGCCAGGACCTGCAGGGGAGCTAGGACTCATGAGGATGTTGGGACAGAAGGGTGAAGACGGGAAGCCAGGGGCTCCTGGACGTCAAGGTCCTGAAGGAACAGATGGAGAACCAGGAGAACCAGGACCTAAAGGTGTTTTGGGGCAGAAAGGAAACCCGGTGAGTTGCGTTTGGACAGGTTTGGTTCTGAGACTTGTTTCCATGACAACAAACCATCACCAGTTTGTGTTCGAGTAACTGATGTAAGGCTTAGAGGATGAGTTCTTCTTTCAGGGTCCTCCAGGGACAAAAGGTGACAGGGGCTCACCTGGAGAGACTGGTCCCAGAGGCCCCACAGGGCAGATGGGGCCCACAGGAAGCCTTGGGATTGGGGTTCCAGGGCCTGAAGGACTCCAAGGAGACACTGGATTTCTGGGTGAACCAGGAGAACCTGGAAAAAAAGGTGGGTCCATTCTGTCATAGTCAGAACTGGAAGCAGGTTTTGGAGCTAAAGCTAATGGTTGTTCTGTGTGTTTCAGGTGAAAAAGGTGCTCCAGGAGAAATTATAGGTTTTCCAGGTGATCCAGGCCAGAAAGGAATAAAAGGTTACACTGGAAACCAAGGACCTGAAGGTAAGACCGTTACCGGCCGGCCCTAGCTTCTGATACCTCCAATGCTAATGCTAATGCTACCAAGGAAATATTTAAAATCTGTTAGAGCAGTGGTTCCCAGCTTATTTTCTGACCCCTGATGATTAAGATCAGCATCACCATGTTGTCTCCTCTGGTCTCAGGAGAGACGGGACTTGCAGGTTTTCAGGGACTGGCAGGACCAAAGGGAGACAACGGACTTGATGGATCATCTATTCCAGGTTTCCCAGGCAGTGTGGGGTTAAAGGGTGAGTTCAGAAACAGACGTGATTAAATCATTTTTACAGTCCATTCATGTAAAACTTAAACGTGTCTTCTGGCATCAGGAAACAACGGGCCTGCAGGAGAACCAGGGTTTCCCAGTTTTGGGGTCAAAGGTCGAGAGGGCCCGTCAGGACCCCCAGGCACAGTTGGCCTGAAGGTAGACAGAAATAAAATCTGTTTTGTTTTATTGTCTCTGAACAAAGTTCTGTCACATATTTCTGTGTTTTTAATGATGACTCAGCACTTTAGGTGATCCTTAATGTGACGAAGGTCTGACATGGACAGAATACTCATCCTGTTTACCTGAACCCACAGTGTGTTTGGGTTTTTAACTGTTTCTTGACTGAGCTCCTGTTCTGGTCTCTGTGCTCAAAGGGGAACAGGGGGGTCGGTTTAACAGGCAGCCAGGGCCAGCCAGGTTCTCAAGGAGAAGATGGTTTGGTTGGACCACCAGGACATCCTGGACCTCCAGGAGTACAAGGAATTGGTGGACTGAAAGGACAAGTGGGTCTTCCAGGTCTCAAAGGTAAGCAGGAGTCGTGCCGTCTGAAGCTGTTTCCATGTTGAAGGTGTTTACAGCGGCGTCTGTTCCTCTCATGAGGTCTGCAGGTCCTGGTCTTGTTCTCCTCCTTCAGGGGTCAGGTTCAGGGTCTTCCACCTGCTCCCTACTCTCTCTGCAGTTCACAGTCCATGAGGACTCTGTCTAGAACTTGTTAAAATAAAGTCTACAGCACAGCAGAGCCCATTCTGCTGTAAACTCAGCTGTTCTAGTTGTTTCTTTAGGATAAAACGTGAGAAAAGAAAAGTTATTCTCATCTTTACTGAACTGAAAATAAAACCTGGTGAAGCACAAGACCTCAATAAGCTTGTCGTTTTGGTCTGCAGGTTGTCCAAAGTCCATGATGTGGTTTACATGATCACAGTCTGAGACCTGAACCAGTTCTAGAACCAGGTCCCAAGCAGGTTTTCCAAGTCCAGGACCATCAAACACTAACACTCAAACTGTACTACTGTGCATGTTAGGTCACCATGGTCTGGATGGTGGCCCTGGTCCTACTGGCCTGAGTGGGGTCTGTGTCTCTGTAGCTCCGGGACCTCAAGGAGTTCAAGGACCCAAAGGTGTCATCGGATTCATAGGTATGGTACCACGTGTGAAGAGTTCAGAGTGGAGCTTGTGTCTTTAACTTCCTGAGAAACCTTCATGTCCTTCCTGTCTGCCAGGAATCAGGGGATCCAAAGGTCTGAAGGGAGATCCTGGCTTCCCAGGGTTCGGAATCCAAGGGATTCAGGGACCAAAGGGRAAACAAGGATTAGATGGAGCTCCAGGTCCGATGGGAGACCAGGGACTGAAGGGCCTGAGAGGGAAGGATGGGGAGCCAGGGAGTCCAGGTGAGACTCAATGTTTGGCATTTTATATCCTGCTTCAAACATTGTTTATCTTATAAAAAGTAATAACTGCTGAATATTTAATGTCAAAATATAAAAAATTATTTTAATTATTAAAAAAAACTATTTTATACATTTTGAAGGTTAATGACAATTTAAAGACAAACAGCTAAAGTCTGTTCTACTCATTTTAAATGAATGTTTGAAGAGAGGTTCTCTTTGTCTTCCAGGATTTAGAGGGGACGTGGGCCCCCCAGGACCACCTGGGAGTCTAGGATGGAATGGAGTTAAAGGGGAAGCTGGACAGCCAGGACCAAAAGGTCTGAGTAAACAAAGAGATTCGGGTTGTGGGACCGTGACAGTCTTTCTCTGTAATGGTTTGTCTCTTAGGTCAGAGRGGTCAGGATGGGGCCAGGGGCTCTCAGGGGCCCCCAGGCGCTCAGGGGGACCGAGGAGATCCTGGACCACAAGGGATCCAGGCAAACATTAATGCACCAGGAGGACCTGGAAACCCTGGAGACCAAGGTATAATCTAGCCTAATCTATTTTAGTCTGGTCTGGTCTGGTCTGGTCTGGTCTGTTTTATTTATGGTAATGGGAGGAGTCAGGAGACCTTCTGATAAGAACAGTAAAATGTATTTTTATATCTTTATTATTAATCCTTTATTTTCATTTATTCACCTGCTGATTGAAGTGAATCCTGTTTGAATTTAAATTATTTGTTTTTTAATTTTTTCTTTAGGGGCTATTGGTTGCACAGGACTTAAAGGAGACAGGGGGCTCACAGGACTACTGGGTCCAAATGGAAGAAAAGGAGAAGCTGGAAACCCAGGACCACAAGGTAAACATGGGACCTGGAACTGTAAAAATGTTGGATGTTTAGGTCTTCACTGTGGCTTTGTGTGACCGTCAGGACTTCTGGGAGACCCAGGTAGAGATGGTGAGAGGGGTCTTCCTGGTTTCACTGGACCCCCTGGTGATAAAGGACTCAACGGGTGTCCAGGTATGTCTACCTCTCCCATCCCAGTGCACCTGAAAGGTGTTACTGTCTCGGCCCAAACATGACGAGGACTCTCTGAAGCCTCATTAAATCCATTTCACTTCACGTTTAATCAGTTTTAAAGTTTAATTTCAAACTTCAGGCTCATTTCAAACTCAATCAGCTGATTTCTTGCAGGTTATAAAGGTGAGAAAGGTCCAAAGGGGACAAGTGGATGTCCTGGTTCAGATGGATCACCAGGACAAACAGGATGTAAAGGTGAAAAAGGAGAACCAAGTCAAGCAGGACCAGGAGCTAAAGGCCCCACTGGAGAAAAGGTGTTGGCATCAATGACCAATGTTCCTGTTAGAATCCCAACATTCAGCTAGAACCTAGATCTGAATCCCCCCACAGGTCCTCAGGGTCACACAGGAGGTCCGAGTCAAGTCACCCAGAGTTCTGGTGCAGGTTATGTGTGTCTGTTAGGAAAATATCTCATCAAACTCTCAAAAAGGAGTCATTGGTTGAACATTCACAACTGATTCAAGATGGCCGCCACAGCTAATCAACACAAACACATAAAGGCTGCATGTTTGACAGATATGGAGCTAAAATCTGGAGTGGTAKTAGCTGAGAGTCGCTCCCAACACAGACTCTGAGAGCTGAGATAAGTCTTACCTCCACAGGGACGTCAAGGATGTCCAGGAAGTCCAGGTCCAAAGGGACAACCAGGAAACCCTGGAAACTTTGGTCCTCCAGGACCAAAAGGACAATGTGGACCAACAGGACCCACAGGACCACCTGGGAGCAGAGGTCTGATGGTTCATGTTTGTTTGTTTCTAAAGTAAAACAAATTGAAAGTGAATTCTTTAATTAGACGTTGGAACCAAGAAAGAACCAGTGTTAAATGAAGCCTAACCTTTGGTCCCAGGTCCACCTGGGTGTCCAGGGGAGAAGGGTTTTGATGGTCTTCCAGGGAACCAAGGCCCTCAAGGAAGTCCTGGAGCTTCAGGTACGGGCTGCTATAACAGCTGGACTCTGTCAGGTCTCCAAACCTGTCCCCTCAGCGACCTATAATCAGATCTTTGTCTTCAGGACCCAAAGGGCCTCCTGGAAATCCTGGTTCTCCTGGTCCTAAAGGGAACCAGGGACAGGATGGGATTCCTGGACCTCCTGGAGAGAAAGGAATCATGGGAGGTAAAATACTGAATGAAAGGTTTAAAACTAAACACAGCTGAGATGAAAGCTTCTGGGTGGAGGTTTTCAGCTCATGTTGGACTAAAACTGGCTTCCAGAGGTCTGTTGGACCTTAGAGGAGCAGGAGGTCTTAGATGGACCAGATCTGACCGGCTGGTGGTGAATGTGATTAAAGTTTGTTTATAAGTCATAAAAACTAAAGTTCATCCTGATCAGGACAAATCTGTGAAACTGGTGTTTGGTTTCAACACAGAGAGGCTAAAACATGTTATTAAAAATGTTTCAAAACAACCTTTTATCATTCTTCTTGATTTTAAGCTTTGATTCATGTTCCAGTAAGCGATCACAGAGGCGGCTGAGCTAAGACTTTATTTACCATCGCCTGTGCTCAAAGGCCCGCTGGTCGCATTCATTAGCTGAACAACAGAATCAACCTAGACCCATTGGGCCTCATGCAAGAACCGTTCGTACGCACAGATTTGTTCTTAAATTGTGCGTACGAGTGATTTAGGAG